GTATAGCTGTGGTCCCTGCAGAGCCTGCTTCATGAGCCTTGTACTGCAGTGAATTATCCTGTGCAACTAGCAGTTCACTACGGAGGAACTGCAAACCAAAAAACTGCCAAAATCTGTTTATAAATGAAGTTGACATTTACCGAGCTTTTCAGTCTTAAAAACCCAGAAGGATTCAGTGCCTTAGTTCTTTTTGGCTACATAAGTCCTGTTTAATGTGAGTGGGGACTCTGTTGTAGTTGGGATGTCTTTCATGAGAATGTTAATCAACTCTTTCATCTTTCTGGATGTATTTTTAATCAAAGCATCAACCTTGGTCACTGCACAGGATTTAAATATATCCATTTTCCTGGAAAGACATTCCTTGCTCATGGATAGGAAGAACCAACATTGTGAAAATGGTCATACTCCCAAAATTGTTATACAGATTCAATGCAATTCCGATGACAATACCATTGGTATACCTCACAGACCTAGAGAAAACATTCCTGAAATTCATCTGGAACCAGAAGAGACCCAAAATAGCAAAAGCAATTCTGGGCAACGAAGGCAAGGCAGGAGGTACCACAATCCCCAATTTGAAATTATACTACAAAGAGAGTGTGATAAAATTAGCATGGGATTGGCAAAAAAACAGACCTGAAGATCAGTGGAACAGACTGGAAGATGCAGACACAACCACAAAGACACTCAGCCACCTTATCTTTGACAAAGGCACCAAATATGTTCACTGGAAGGAGGATACCCTCTTTAATATATGGTGCTGAAAAAAATGGCTTTCCACATGCTGAAGATTAAACTAGACCCAAGCCTATCACCATGCATCAAAATAAAGTCAAAATGGCTTAAAGATCTAAATATTAAAGATAGGTTAGGATTACTCTTGTTTGAGCTGTTGAAGAAATGTTTCTTTCTCAAACTAGTGTCCAACAAATGGTTAAGACACTTTTGGTGCTTTACCTGCCTGTCTGCAAAGACTGGAGAATTTAGTATACCACAAGTTAAAAACTCCAACTATACTCTATAGAACTACCCTAAATGAAGGACCAGCAGCCACTCTTCAAAGAATTTAAAATATCAGAAGACTACAAAGACTTGTATTTGGAAGCCTGTATCATCTTTCCCCGGTAATGACTGCTTGATCTTCAAATGGTAACCTTGTATTAGAAATGGACAAATCACTGGCTTTCTATACCTGATCACATGCTATTCCTTCAAATCAGTATTTGGAAAATCCAAGCATTTATGCAGCAGATATAAAGAAATATTAAAACAAAACACTAGATCTAATGGAAGAGAAAGTAGGTGGAAGTCTTGAAGACATAGGGATAGGTAGAGAGTTCATGAACAAAAACCAAACTGCAGGGGCTGGGGATTTAGCTCAGCGGCAAAGCGCTTGCCTGGCAAGCGCAAGGTCTTGAGTTCGGTTCCTGGTACCAGAGAAAAACCAAAAAAAAACAAACTGCAGGGCAAATACTTCAAAGAATCAGCAATTGGGATCTCATCCTATTGAAAAGTTTTTGCACATCAAAAGAAATCACTAACAGGGTGCAACGAAATCCCACGTATTGGGAAAAAATTTTAGCCAACTCTCCCTCAGAAAAAGGACTCCTGTCTAGAACATATACTTTTAGAAAATCAGGCCCCCAAAATTCAAAGACCCAATCCGAAAGTGGGCATCTGAGATGAATACACACTTCTCACATGAATACAAATGGCAAATACATGAAAAAAATTTCAACGTCGTTAGTCATTAGAGAAATGCAAATTAAAACAACACTGAGATTCCATCTCATCTCCATCTCATCATCTCATTCCTTCTCTATCATCAAGAAATCAACCAGTAACAAATGCTGGAGGGGCTGTGGGGAAAAAGGAACTCTTCTCCACTGTTGGTGGGAGTGCAGACTGGTGCAACCACTGTGGAAATCAGTCTGGAGATTCCTCAGTGAACTTGGATTAGAGGTCCTATTCAACCCACCTACTCCCCTCCTGAGTATTTTTCCAGAACTGAAAACATCATACCACAGCAATATATGGGCACCCATGTTTATAGCAGCACTATTTGTAATAGCTAAGTCTTGTAAACAACCCAAATGCCCATCCACTGAGGAATGGATAAAAAAGACGTGATATCTTTATACAATAGAGTATTACTTAGCTATAAAGATAAAATAGTCTTTCATAGGTAAATGGATGCAACTAGAGACCATACTCATAAGCGAAATAAATCAGATTCACATGTGTAAATATATTTCCTATTATAAGAACCTGAAAGAGTAAATAAAATCTGAAAGGTACAATAGATACTGTGAAAGGGAAAAGAAACTGCTCAAATAGGAAGAAGCAACTGGGATGGAGAGAGAAAAAAATATGTATATGTATACACAGGATAGCTAAGATAATTGTACTACCATCTGTTGATTTATTGAGAGGAACTGTTAATGTGTAATTGTTTGATCAATCTTGCATACCTATATCAGTAACAACCATTGTTAATCGCGGTGGTATGAGTCCGGCCCACACTCGGACCCAGGAGCGCTGCAGCTCCCGGAGAACTCGCTGCCTGGGCGCAAGGCGCGGGGGGCTGGGGGAGCCTGCTCGGCCGGCTCCGAGGGCCTGCTCGCCCCGCCCGTCCCCTGGCCTCCCTGCGCCTAGAAACTCAGACTGCAGTGTCACCGGGGTCTTTGTTCTCGCGTCCTGGCCTCCGGGAGTGGGTGCGGCCTACCTGGCTCTTTGCGCGCTTTTCGGCTGGGAATCGCGGTGGTATGAGTCCGGCCCACTCTCAACAACCATTGTTAATATCCTATCATGTTTTGAAATTCTGCTTCATTCTTTATGCTGTTTTATTATTTGTTTTTGTTCTTTATGCTGTTTTATGTATTTGTATTTGTTTATGTATCTGTTTTATGTATTTGTTATTTTGGGATTTTTCAAATGAAAAATAAAATTTATTACATATACATAAGGATAGCTGGGTAGGTGTATTGCTGATATCTGTAGTTTATTGAAAGGAAGTCAATGTTTAAAATTTTCGTTTTCTTGACTGATTTTGCAATGATTGAGTCTGGTAATCAGAATGACTGATCTGAAAACAATATAAAATATAAGAATTGTTGAACTCTTAGCATCTTGTACAGTGAAGTGCTGCATCATTTCCAATTTTTTTTTTTTTTTTTTTATTACTTGTTACTGTCTTTGATCAATCTTACATTCTTATGCCTGGTGGACTAAGCAACTTCAATGAAGATAACAGTATGTAATGCAGCAACCACTGTTAATTCTTATCACTTTGTTTTGAGGCCATCTATCATTTTTGTTGTTTTGGTTTTGTCTTCATTGTTGTTTTGTTAGTTTATTCAATTTTTAAAATAAAAATATCCATTTTCCTACCACAGCAAGTGACTTTAAACTGTTGTATCGTTTCAGTTTTTTGTTTTTGACTTTGTTTTTTCTCCTTAAAATTCTAAAAATAAGCTAAGAACAGGAAATCTCAAAAAAAAAATTAGTACTGTCAAAGTCTCAATTTAAAGTATTAATTTATAGATAACTGATGTCTTAGTCATTTTTCTCTTATTGCTGAGACAAAATACTCAACAGGCAAAGTTACAAGGGGAAAGGTTTATGTAGCTCAGTTTGTAGAGCTTTCTGTCCCTAATTAGCTGGCTCCAAGGCAAGGTGGCACATGGCAGAGGGGTGACAATTCATGGAGGCAGAAGACAGCAAAACAACTGAGGAAACAAGCCTTTCTGTCCCTTACCTTGTACCCAGTCTACTGGGATTAGGGTGGTGCCAATCCAATCAGTGGACTGATCCAGCAATCACTCACGCTGAATCCCAGCATCCTCAATCCCATCACTGAACTATCAATCAATCACACTGAACTATCAATCAATCATTCTAACCCTAATCTAGAGATTCACCTACCTCCTAAGAACCCTGAACTAAAAGTGCATGATGTTGTGGGGAGACCTAGATACAAACCATGACAACTGACTATGGTATATTCCATCCTATTCTTCTATGCCAAGAGCCAGTCTGTTTTGCATAACCTATGGAGCTAAGATTTTTTTACATTTTAAAAGGGTTAAATAATCCAGGACCTTCTGAATATCACTTATTTTTAGAGTAAATTGGCCAATCTCTATTCTAAGGCAGGTAGTTTTTCTTTTGTTTTGTGCCCAGTCCTGGGGATTGAACTCAGGATGCACACATATTAGCCAAGTGCTCTACCACTAAAATTTTGTAAAGACACCAGACCTGACAAGATTTAGAGCAGTGGCATTCAAACACCAGCATGAATGTCACTTACCCTTTGTAAAAATGTGTATTCCTTAAAAAACAAAAAAGAAAAATGCAGGGGTAGGGATATAGCTCAGCTGCACAAGCACCTGCCTGGCAAGCGCAAGGTCCTGAGTTCAACCCCCATTAGAGAAAAAAAAAAGTTAAAGGTAATCCCAGCACTTGGGAGGCTGAGGCAGGAGGATCATTGTGAGTTTGGGGCCAACCTGGGCTACAAAGCAAGCTCAAGGCCAGCCTTAACTACACAGCAAGACTCTCTCTCAAAAAGATATTTTTAACAAATGCACATTCTTGCCAACTGGTGATTCAGTTGAAAGTGAGGATCCTAGAATCTGCATTCTAAACAAATAATGCAAGTGAGTAGGATAAGGTTGCCTCAAGGACTATCCACTATGTGGATTTAGTTTTCCCAGAACAGCAAAAAATAGGTTTTTGCATGATAAGCAGTTGAAAGTGGAGGAAAAAAATGAAATCTTTTTTTCTTGCATAAAATTCCTCAGCCAACAAAATATACAAGCATTTATCAGCCTAGATTATTAAAAATGCCACAACTCCAAATACACAATGTTCCATCCAACAAGAAGAGCTTGTGAAACAAGGTCAAGTAGAAAACCTGAAAGTCAACCAAGAAAGAAAAACTTGAGCCTTATGGTTAAAAAATAAAGATTCAGTACTTTTGAATAAGGTTTCAATAACTGTTATTTACAGAATGGACAATATTTATTAAATAGTCAACTATATGCTAAGCACTATACATATAGTAGAACTAATGCTTACACATTAGGCTAATAAACTAGGTACAGTTATTTCATTTTCAACAAATACTCTGTATTGAAGAGGGTAACTTTTTAAAAACCATATAACCATTAAGTGACAAACTGAAGTATGAATATCTGACTACAGAATGCAGTGCAAAAAATAGAAAAAGTACATTCCTTGTCAGAAGTATTCTTCACAGACTAAAAAATACAACAGTTATTCAGCACGGATAGACAAAGTGTGAAGGGACGGGGAGAAATTCATCTAATACATATTTTAGTGCCTGCTTATATACTGAAGGAGCACTCATTTCAGAAGATACTACAGAGAGATCAGTCAGAGAGCAAGAACCAAAGGAATCAAGAGTTCCATCTTCCAAGGAAAAAGACACACAGAGCTAGACACCAATTCTAGATATTCAAACTACAGGGAATTCATATAGGATAGAGTAGGTACAAACAGCTGCCAAAGAACAAGTCATGCTCCACGCTACTTCATTTCCAGCTTGTGGTGTTTTTATTTTAGAAAACAATGAATCAAACAGGTTAGAGCGATTGCTTTCTTGTTCTGTGTATTTCTATTCTCCACTTGAGAAAACAGAGTCAAATCTATCTTCATCCATTCTGTTAATGATGTAAGCAAGGACCATCAGTTACTTTGAAAGAACCTGGGGGGAAAAACACACACAACTTGCTTAAATCACAGATTTAAACAGTCTCTATAGTCAGGACAGGGAAAAGAGTAAAAAGACAGAAAATCACCTGTGACAATAAAATATTTACAAACTGGCTAGACTACCAAAAACTACCATCATCAGCTTTTTTGTCTCGTAATTTCATCTCACAAAGGTACACTCCGATTCTGACTTAGAAGATATTTAATATTTTTATCATTAAGTTAAAAGCTATTTGTATTCCTATTATGAAAGAGCAAGTTTACTTCCCAAATTTATTTGACCCTTCCACATGAGGAAGCATTGTAAACTGCCAGAATTTATTCTCTCCAAGGGGTGAAGAGTCATCAGCTCAACTGAAGGCCTATAAGACTGCCACTAAAACAGGGCCAACACAATGGCTCACATTTGTTCTTTTCCATGAGTTTTGTGACTTATTTTAGACAGATACCTAGTTAAGTATACTTTCCAAGGAATTAACTTAAACTGTTCCATAAACATAATTTTATGATTTTACAAAAATCACCTAAATGGAAACACTAAATATTCATAAGGGCCAGGCATGGTGGCGCATGCCTATAATCCCAGCACTTGGGAGGCTGAGGTAGGAGGATCACTGCAAGTTCAAGGCCAGCCTGGGCTACAAAGTGAATTCAAGGCCACCCTAAACTACACATCAAACCCCATCAAAAAAAGAAAAAAATAGTTGTAAGGATTTTAAAAATACAATCATACAAAGATGTTTCCCAGTGTTATTACTTAACAATGATATAAAAGGCTGGGTTTAATGGTACATGCCTTAATCCCAGAAAGAAAACTACAAGTCGAAAGCCAGCCTGGGCAACTAAAGACCTTGTCTCAAAATAGAAATTTAAAAAAAAAAAAAAGAGCTAGGGAGCCAGGAGTGGTGGCGCACGCCTATAATCCCAGCACTTGGGAGGCTGAGGTAGGAGGACAGCCACAAGTTCTCTGAGGTCAGTCTACGCTACACAGTAGGTTCAAAACTAGCCTAGACTATACAGTGAGCCCCTGTCTCAAAAACAAACAAATAAAAAGAACTGGAAAAGTACCCCAGCACTCCCTGGGCTCAATCCCCAGTACCAAACAAACAAACCCAACACAATAACAACTTGAAATTAAAGTCTACATACAGCAGGGGTGTAGCTTTCCTTGCTTGCACAAGGTCCTGGGTTTGATAACTAACACTCAAAAATTTGAGAGCTATCAGTTTTTCATTTCTGTTCAAATGATCTTATACAGTTTGGTTGCCAGAAAAAAATGAAGATACTACAAGTAAGTAGTTAAGTGAATTAATTCTATATCTTACTATAAATTTAAGAATTGATATTTACACCTTTAATTCTAGGGGACTTCAGAAGAACAGACATTATCCCACTTTTTTTTCAAGATACATTCTTTAGTTGTTTTTGGAGAAATCTTAATTTTATAAAATGGTTACCTGCATATTTCCCTTGGAGACCTTTTAAAAATTCAGATTAACCTAGAGTATAATTTTTGTCATCACTAAAGGTCACCAATGCACTGAGTTTTAAAAACTCAATTTGGAAATCACCAGTTATTTTTTCAAAGTAAAGAATGGTAATATACCAGATTAAGTCAAATTCAACCTACAGCAAAGCCCTTGGAGGCATCTGTAATTATGTGCCATAGCATGTAATCATGTAACATAAAACACTGGTATCAGATTAAAAACATATTATTAGTTGCAAATAACTTACCATTTAAAGTCAAAATCCAGTAATTTTCAGTCTTGCTTCCACTTCTTTGTCCCCCTGGCTTTACTTGGCATGTCGGACTCCATTGTAGATTGTCAGTAGCCATCCATCTGAAGAATTCCTTCCTCTGCTGCCACCTACCAGTTTATTTCTCTGCTGCAGCAGAAGGGTATATAGAAAAAGTTCTTGCTTACTGTTCAGATTTTAACAGAAAAAACTTCCTATCTTCATATGTGCACCAACTTTTCCATGTCCACTCCCCCCTCAAAAAAAAAAAAAAAATCAGAAACAAAAATCCCAATTATAGGAAAAAAAAAACAAAACCATGATCAATGCTCATGCTAAGCTGGGAAAATTTTTAACAGAAAAGGAAGGAAGGAAGTGGAAAGTTTTAGACACTGAGCTGCTGCCATCTCAAGGAGCCATCCCTGCTCTGTTACAGTCTCCTTCTTCACCTACCCCTACAATCTGCCAACAATTCAGGAGTCTACAACTCCTGCAACATTCAAGGTCAGAGATTACCCAAAAAACTGTGCAAGATGCGTCACTATGAAAGAGTTTTTTAAAGTAATTCTAGAAACTAGGGGTGTTAGGTTCTTTACCTGCTTGAGTTTTCAATGTTCTGGACTGCTTATTGCCCAATGGCTCTGAATACATTAAAACACGAACACATACGCCACCTATATTTAAAATAGGGTAGCATTTGTATGCCCACATAAGCACTAAGTATTTTTTTTTGCAAGTGAGTAATAATAAATTCATTAAGTCCTTTAAAAAGGGCTAGCCATGAATACACATTTCCTCCAACTGCATATATAGAAAAACCAGGGGAAAAAAGTAGGACAGAATGACAAATATCATAGTAGCTGTAGGAGAACTGGGCATTAGTATACCATAAATGTTCTCTGCTTGTTAAAATCTAAGATTTATATTCCCATTCTTTTTTGTCACTGGAATTCACACTTCAAGTTTATTGTACATTACCTAGTAAGTAACAGTATGTAGTAATGAGCTAATAATAACAGTAACGGCTGTATTTGCTCCACCCTCCCAACTATCTTTACCCCCAAATTAATATATGCATTATAATTTTGCCAACCTTAAAGGAATCAAAATACAAAACGAACACTGAGATAAGTGCCCGAAGCTAGTCAACAGTGTACTGCAGCAGTTTCTGCTTTCTCGTTCCTTCCCCGATCTCAAACCCCACCCTTTTGACCTCCGTATATGGGATGCGCCTGAGCAGGCGAAGGTGGTGATGTCAGGGCTGCGCCGTTCCCACGGATGCTCCTACAGGCCTGCTGTGCTTCTGGGAACTGGGCACAGGGATGTCTGTCTGACTGAAACCTAAAACAACAACAGTTCACCCCACCCCTCATGTTTCCCAACCCCACAGTAGCAGCCAGGTGTATATATACTATATAAATAAGGTCCACCTAATAAATGGTAAACTGTACAAGTGAGATAATTCTTTACAAACCAGGGCATTCAATGTGGGCAGCAGAATGGAGCTTGTTAAAACTCTCCATGCCCTATGCAATCACATACTCTGTACATTCTAATGGTGGTCATTCTGATCAGTAAGAGAACAGAGGTCTCCTGAATGAGCCTGAGTATACATCATCAACTCTGCAGGAGTACAGCTGGGATTCTTTTTATTAGTCAACTGTAGTTCAACAGATCTTATTTTTCTCTGAAGGTGTTTAGGGGACTATCCCTATCTTATAAGAGTCAACTGAAGCACAAAACCGGCTAATGACACTGTAAAAAGAGCACCTATGGCCAGGACTTCCTATTCACTAGTGACACAGGAGATTTTGAGAGCTACTTTGGATAGGATATTTAAAGTCATAGGATAAAACTATGCAGGAGCATATGTTTGAAAAAGGCCTGGCTACTTTCCCTGAAATCTTACCAACTAGAAAGAGGATTAACTCCCAAAATGATAAAACATAGGAGTTTTAGCTGTCATGGTTGAAGACCTCATGGTTGAAGAAAGGGCTGGGGGGGCTGGGACAGACCACCTTCCAGTTTACTAACAGAAAGGGTATCAAAATGAACAAGCTGTATTGCTATTCCTGCCATTAACTTTGTTGGCATGATCTTGATTAATCTGCTTACCCATGTTGTGCTTGAGAAATACTTTCCTATCTGCTTCGAACCTGTAATTTCTGAGTGCTTAAGCCATGATTTTTTTATGATAACCTCAATTTGCTCATGTTTATTTCTTTGACAGTATCTCCGAGATGCTACAAAGATTAGTTCGGTCGGCAGGTTTCTCCTCACAATGAAAATCCCTTCTATTAATCTACGTTTCATCATTCTCTTTCACTTTCATAATGGTGTTGCAAAAAGAGAAGCACTAAGCTCCACCGGAATGCTGTGTTGAGTTTTTATCATACATATAACCTAGATCCTAATTTTACCTTTCAAAACTCTAGTTTTCCATACCTGTCAACTCCTAATTGATGTCTTTATACTGTGAGCTCACTTTGTATTCGGAACACCAACCCCTGAAAAAGCTTAAGCCAGAGTAGCACAATGGAAGAAACAAACAAACCCAAAACGAAAACAAAGCCAAACAAGTGTCACACTCTGAAATACTTCATTATAGACATATATGCAAGAAATGGAGTTACCTAATGGCTAAACAAAATTACCAAAGAAGGTCCTGGGTTCACCCCAATCAATTCAAACTTTATTCCCAGAAGCAAATTATTTGGTGAACATATTTATGTATTACTTAAACCCATAATTGCCTTTCAAGTGCAGGAAGAAAGGCAATTTTTTATAAAAGAAAGTTAAGTTAGCCTTGTGGTGCAAAGAAAGGAGAAAGAGTCAAATTACCTGCCAGCAGGCTGGGGCTGTGACTGAATCCAAACCGCTGCATTTAGCACTCATTACACAGCTGCATTATGGGGGAAGGGGAGTTTAGAAGGGCACTGACCCCGAAAGTGCTCAATACTCCTCACTCATCATCAGGAAGGGGGAAGAAGGAAAGTTTTTTCTCTGGGTATATTTTTGTTTGTTTGTATTTGGTTTTTTTTGGCTCCTGAAAAGGCTGGCAAAGAACAGTAACAGTACAAACAGTTAGAATATTTCTTTTAAAACAATTTTTAAATGTAAAACATTAAGGAACTTTAAAAGCCAAACTTTCGTTAATATAGAAAAAATTTTCACTAGAGTTAGGCAGCCACCCCAAAACAGCATGGCAAAATGGTACAGATAAAGGAAATAAAATACCACACAAAAATCCAAAACAAAACTAAAAACATTTCAAATTAAACCTGAAAGACTAGAAGATTCCAACAGCAGATTTCTGTCCACTACTGAAACATTCCAAAATCCAAGCTTCAAAGGTGCCTAAATTGTATGTTAAATGAAACTTTTTTAAGAAAGAAAAAAGAAAGAAAGCAGTGAACCTGGTTATAAATCCTACAATATATTACATTTTTAAAAATCCTAGTACAACAAAACAAATTTTAAATAAAATTAAACAAACAAACAAATAAAAACAGTAGCAGCAGAGGTTACCTGTCTGAGCACCTACATTTTCTTAGGAGGGGATCGTGTCTCACCAGCCAAATAGCCCATAAACCTTCTCAAAAAAAGCGAGCCAGGAGAAAAATATAACACAAGATTTGATTTCGCAATGTCTCTAAGCCCCCCCAAGCCCCAAATTGGGGGTTCACTGAATGACGAGAATTTATTTTTCCATTGGTTTCTTCTTGAGAAAAACAAGAGATGATTTGGAAAGTCAATGACTTGTTTCAGTGCCTTCCTTCGGTACCTTTTCTCAAAGTCTGGTAAAGTGCTTGATGAAAGCAAGTCTCTTGTTGGATTTTTCTAATGTTCCAGGGTATTTTTCTTAATGACAGCACATACAGAAAGATTTCAGAGTTCATTGGAGAAAAGCCAGCAGAAATGACCAATTATAGGCACCAAAAAAACAAAAAAAGACTTAAAAAATTTTAAATGGAATAGTTCATATGTATAGATAGGAAAGTCCAGTTTTCATCATGGGTGACATAAAAACAATATCAGAAAGAATTATTTAAAAAATACAATTTAGAGTTACAATTTTAACAATACACAAAAATTTTACAGTATTCAAATTTTGGCATGATAATGATTACACATGTTTGATAAATACATTTTCATAATGAAGATTATACAAAAGTTATTAAACATTTATGAAAATAAATTCAACTACCACTTAAATATTTAATGCTGTTGCTTTCAAGTGCTTTGAGAGTGAGTGATCTGTTCTTATTCTTTATGTTAATTTTAGAGAGAACTCAAGAAGATACCCATGTGTCAAAAGTCTTAAAAGACCATTCTTGCCCTTCTCACTTTAATGTGTAGGTGTAAAGTCCACAAATAAGTTGTTAAAGCTATGTTTTAATATAATGTGAATGCAAGGAGATGGATAAACTGAATAAAACTGTAAGTGAAATAATTTCAGGTATTTGTTATTACAGTTACCTACTTTGATAAAAGTTAAAAAGCAGCTAACTACACTTCTCTTGGTCCTTTATCCCACCAACACAAAATGAGTCTTTCATTAAACAAAAAGGTTCTTGTATTTGTGTTTTTTTAAATGCACTAACCTAGATATATATATAATATATAAGTGTTCAAGTAAAATGTATCAGATGTGGCAATCAGATGGTCTCTACAAGAACATAGGAATGATGGCTTGCTTAAGCAGTTCTTCCTTTATTTGTCTAAACCACATAGTATGCACCCTCCAAAATATGGTCATTCAGCAAAAGTACCAAGTATTGTTCTTCCTGTTAATGCACCAGAGGTACCTGTGTGAGGCCCGCATAGCTTTGTGCAAGTGAAGTTGTTTTAAGTGCAATTAGAATATCCTAAAGACAAATTAGAAAATCCTCTTACGTATCTTTTGTCTGAGGTGAAATGAGACAATGCACAGAGTAGAGGTACTATTCTATTTGCCAACAGTCAACCTTTCACTCAATTTTAATATTACTTAATTCTATAGAAAAAAACAAGTTTTATTACATTCCTTTTTTAAATGAGGGGAAAACTGTACAAGTAATCATGATCAAACCTCTGTTAGAGCTGGTTAATATTGATCTTTTATTATTGCCTCAAAGTCTCTCTATGTAGTAGCGTCCAAGAAATTACGTTAAGGTCCATCTGAAGGAAATAGCACTGGAGAGGCAAGAAAGGGCTTGGGTAAAAGCTTCAGAGGATTTGTAAGGAGACGAAACTTGCGGTTTAAAAAATTATGTTGAGCTCTGTAGTACCTCCATTTCTTAACATACTTTCCAAACCCATCATTGAGATAGTTATTATCCATGTTTTAAAGGCTCATATGCAGTTTGGGGGCTTTCATAAATTCAGAAAGTAAAGGAATATAGAGTGGTCAGTATTGAAGGCTTAAAAGTAGGGCTATATGAGACTCAATACTGCTAAATAAATTCCCAAACCAAAAACAAGGCCACCCACCCCAACTCCTATGTGTAAAAGGAGAATGCATTGCCATAAGTACTGAAGGACAGCATATGGCCTTGAATAAATCATACACTGAACAGTCTAAAAACAAAAAACACATATACACAAAAAGGCCTAAGAAACACCTATTCTCTTTATGTCTTCAGGTAAGTATCTCTACCCCCATGGCAGTCTAAGTCATGAGAACAACTCATCTGCTTTTTCAAATAAAAAACTGTTTCCTGTCATGCTCTATTCTCTAGAATCTATCTTTTTTGTTTGGCTGGTATAAACAAAAAGCAAAACACATACACATGCATGCGTGCACATACACACATATATATATATATACCTCCTTGTAAAATGTGAAAATGCAAATATATAATGCTGGCATTAGAAATAACTTCAGTTTTATACTTAAGAACTTGATCTGCCCCTAAAAATATTTTTCCTTGACCTTATTCTTTAAACGTCTAACCACCAAAAGAAAAAAGAAAAGGCTTTAAATGTACATGTTTCAAGTCAGTGTCTTGTTAACAAAAAGGTAGCATTTTTCTCACTTTGGCCATTTTGTTAAAGATGCAGGCATAGAGCAGGGAATGTTAGACTAGCATGTATTAAAAAAATGCAACATTAACAGAGCATATATCTTCCAAAAAAGACTAAAACACTAACAAATACAAGTCAATCCACATATCTTAAGCTAGTGTAATTTTATCTACATTGAGTAAATGTTATTTTCTACACCAGACATTGCAATACTGTTCATTTCCTTTCATCATGCAAACATGCCAATTCTGTCATCAAAAAGCCTTTATTGGGTTATATTCACTTTGCTCTCCCACCCAAATTAAAAGAAAAAACAAAGACAAAACACAAAAATGAGAAATCCCACTAAGAGCCCCTTGAGACTTCATAAACAATATAAACTAAAGCTGCTAGCTAACAGTGAAATGTCAGAGTTTTCAGATTTGTATATAAAAATTTCTGTAATTTAGGTAGATGTTCTCCCCACTCTTTACAAATCTTACAATACAATGTAAAGTTATGCTATCAGGTATTTTTATATGAAAAAGTGTTTTTGGTAGAAACAAAAGCAAGGGACCATGAACAAAATGTTCATGTTCCTCATGGTGTGGCCTCAGAGCATACAAATTTTGTAGTAATTTAAAAGTTAACTATGAGGGCCTGACTTCGTTTTTATATCACCACTTCTGCCTCTCTGTAGCATCTGTAAATGAAAGTCAGTATACATTACTAACAGAGGTCTCCTATTTCCCCCTTCTTCTCTCCAACTAATCTTACAGACTCTCTCATCCTCCTAAGCATTTTCCATGAACAGCATTGCAAGTTGGTTTAAAAAAGAAAAAAGGAAGAAAAAGAAAAAAGAACTAAAAAGAAAATTTTACAAGGGTTTTGTTGGTTAATTATTGACCGGTGGAGTCACTCCACCAGGAGTTTGATTTCATTGGCTAGCAGCTGGTTCATGTTGAACAGGCCCCCTGGGAGCTTGGTAAGCAGCTCTCGCTCCGTGCTTTCAGGGTCGCTGTCGACAGAGCTGGAACTTGCGCTCATGTTGTCGACAGCAGTGCTGGCAGGGGGACCCAGCTCCGGCTCACTAGTCTCACTGGCCGTGGACACCACGGAGAGCAGGGACATACGCCGGGTGAGCCGGCCAGAGGGCAGAAGGGAGGCGGCATAGTCCGCTATGATACCAGCTACATCTAGATTACAAGCCTTATCAAAGGCGATGAAACCTACATTTGCATTGGCCTCGCAGACACAGAAGGAGCCGTCATCTTTCATCAACAGGTCAATGCCACATACATCCATTCCCAGGATATTGGACACCTGGATAGCTAGCTGCTTCCCTTGTTCACTCAGTGAGCACATCATCCCCACACCGCCTGGGAAAAGAACAGCAAGGCAGAAGATAAAAAATGAGAAACTTCATTAGAGCAAAATTAAAGTTGGCCTCCTAGGTTAATCCTCTCTTAAAAAGCAACATTGAAAAAAATTTGCAACAGAACAAGCACAAATAAACAATCTTATGCTGCACCTCAAGTTCCTAGAAAAAGAAGAGCAAGTCAAACCCAGAGCCCAAAGAAGGCAGGAAGTTCTAAAGCTCAGAGCAGAAATTAACGCAGTGGATACTAAAAAAAAATACAAAGAATTAATGAATCGAAGAGTTGGTTCTTTGAAAGAATAAATAAAATAGATAAACCCCTAGCCAACTTTATCAAAAAAAGGAAAGAAAAAATTGAAATACATGCAATAAGGAATGAAAGGGGTAAAATCACTACAGATCCTAAAGAAATTCAGAAGATCATCAATACCTACTTTGAAAATCTTTACTTTCATAGGGTGGAAAACACAGAGGAAATGGACAGATTTCTAAATACATATGAATTACCAAACCTGAATGAAGAAAATATAAAAATCCTGAATAACTCAATATCAGCCAGTGAAACTGAGAATGTAAATAAAAACTTGCCAATGAAGAAAAAGCCCAGGTCCTGATGGAGTCACAGCTGAATTCTACAAGCAATTTAGGGAAGATTTAACACCAATTCTTCTCAAACTCTTTAATGAAACTGAAAGGAAAGGAATTCTCCCCAACTCATTCCCGGAGGCAAGTATTATTCTGACACCAAAACCAGAGAAAGACCCAACCAAGAAAGAGACCTAAAGACCAACCCTCCTAATGAATATATATGCAAAAATTCTCAATAAAATACTAGCAAACAGAATATAACAAATCATCAAGAAGATTATACACCACGACCAAGTGGGGTTCATACCAGGAATGCAGTGATGGTTCAATACACGCAAATGAATCAATGTAATACACCATGTCAATAGAGCCAAGGACAAAAATCACATGATCATCTCAATTGATGCAGAAAAAGCCTTCGATAAAGTCCAACACTCATTCATGTTGAAAACCCTACAGAAAATAGGAATAGATGGCCTTTACCTCAAGCTGATCAAAGCCATCTATGATAAACCAACAGCTAACATCATACTAAATGGTCAAAAATTGAAAGCTTTCACTTTAAAATCAGGAATAAGACAAGGATGTCCATTGTCACCACTCCTATTCAATACAGTTCTGGAAATATTGACTAGAGCAATTAGACAAGAGAGAGATATAAAAGGAATAAGGATAGGAAAGGAAGAAGTGAAACTGTCATTATTCGCAAATGACATGATACTCTACATGGAAGACCCCAAAAACTCCACCAAAAGGCTCATGGATTTAACTACCAAATTCACTAGCATAGCTGGATACAAAGTTAACACTCAAAAGTCAAAGGCATTCCTGTACACAATTAACAAACGGACTGAGACAGAAATTAGGGAAATCACACCTTTCACAATAGCATCTAAAACGATGAAGTACATAGGAATCAATCTAACAAAAGAAGTAAAAGATCTATACAGTGAAAATTATAGTACTCTGAAAAAAGAGATTGAAGAGAATATCAGAAAATGGAAAGATATTCCTCGCTCATGGATAGGAAGAACCAACATTGTGAAAATGGCCATACTCCCAAAATTGTTGTACAGATTCAATGCAATTCCAATTAAAATACTGTTAGTATACCTCACAGATCTAGAGAAAACACTCCTAAAGTTCATCTGGAACCAGAAGAGGCCTAGAATAGCAAAAGCAACCCTGGGCAACAAAAACAAGGCAGGAGGCATCACATTCCCGATTTAAAATTATATTACAACGTTACTGATAAAATCAGCATGGTACTGGCACAAAAACAGACCTGAAGATCAACGGAACAGATTAGAAGACACAGATACAACTACAAACACACTCAGTCACCTTATCTTCGACAAAGGGGCCAACATGTTCAATGGAAGGAAGATAGCCTCTTTAATAAATGGTGCTGGAAAAACTGGCTTTCCACATGCCGAAGACTAAAACTAGACCCATGTCTTTCACCATGCACTAAATTAAAGTCAAAATGGATCAAAGATCTAAATATTAAAATAGAAACACTAAATTTATTGTTCATTTCTTTATTGGAGGAGAAAGTAGGCAAAAATCTCGACGACATTGGGGTAGGCAGAGAGTTCATGAACCAAACCCAAACTTCACGGGAAATACTTCAAAGAATCAACAACTGGGATCTCATCTTATTGAAAAGTTTTTGTACATCTAAAGAAATCACCAATAAAGTAAACAGAAAACCCACAAATTGGGAAAAAAATTTAGCCAACTGCCCTCAGACAAAGGACATAAAGAATTAGAAAAACTCAGGTCCCCCCAAATTCAAAGACCCAATCCAAAAATGGGCATCTGAGATGAATACACACTTCTCTAATGAAGAGATACTAATGGCAAACAAACACATGAAAAAATGTTCAACGCTATTAGTCATTCAAGAAATACAAATTAAAACAACACTGAGATTCCATCTCACCCCAGAAAGAATGACTACCATCAAGAAATCAACCAATAAAAAATGCTGGAGAGGCTGTAGGGAGAAAGGAACCCTACTCCACTGCTGGTGGGAGTGTAGAATGGTGAAACCACTGTGGAAATCAATTTGGAGATGCCTCACAAAACTAGGATTAAAAGTTCCCTTTAACCCAGCTATTCCCCTTCTGGGTATTTTTCGAGAAGAATTAAAGACATCATACCACAGCGATATATGTGCACCCATGTTTATAGCAGCACAATTTGTTATAGCTAAATCTTGGGAACAACCCAGATGCCCATCCAATGAGGAATGGATAAAAAAGTTGTGGTATTTTTATACAATGGAGTATTTTGTATAAAATATACTCAGTATAACTCAGCTACTAAAGTATTGTATAAAAGAGTATTGTACAAAAGAGTATTGTATAATGGAGTAGTGTATAAAACATTCTGAGTATAACTAAGCTACTAAAAAAGATAAACTCGAGGCTTTTGTAGGTAAATGGATGCAACTAGAGACCACACTCACAAATGAGAGAAATCAGACCCACATGTGTAAACATCATATTGTCTCCTTGGTGTAGGAACCTGAAAGACTAGGTAAAACTCAAAACGTACAATAGATGATAGGAAAGGGAAAGAAATTGCTCAAAGCAAAGAACGACTGTGATGTGTGAAAGAAGAAAAAAGAAGGAAGGCAAAACATAAACATATATATGAAAAGCTGCAATGACTGTATTGCTGTTGTCTGATGGTGTATTGAAATGAACAGTTGATGCTCACAATTTTTTATGTTCTGATCGACTGTGCATGCTTGTGTCTGGTGGTCTGAGCAACTGATCTGAAGGTAACAATATGCAATGGAATTACAATGGTGAACTCCTACCATCTTGTCTAGTGAAACTCTGTATTATCTCTAATGTTTTATTGAAGAATTATTTTCTTACTCTCTTTAATGGTTTGAGCAATCTTTCATTTTTACACCTGGTAATCTGAGCAATGTAGTTAAGGATAGCGATATGTAATGTAACAACCACTGTTGATTTGTATTAATTTGTCTTGAGACCCTGTATCACTTTGAATGTTCTTGCTTTGATTTGTTTATGTTAGTGATACTAGTATGCTTCTACTGTTCTATTTTTTTGTTTGTTTCTCATGTACTACTCTAAACTTAAAAAAAAAAATTTGCTACTTGCTCTAGTGTAAAACTGGGATTCTGACATGTAGACTTCCTTCTTTAGGGATTTTTGGTTTTTTCTTTCATTAAGGACTGTATACCTACACCGTCTCTCAGAGAATCAATAATTTAGTATTTTTGTTTTCTTTTTTCGTGAGACTGGGGAATGAACCCAGAGGCTTCCTATTAAGCTACATCCCCAACCCATTTATTATTACAGACATTCCTTCTTTAATGACGGAGCTCCAGATTCCTGTGACTAGACTGATAAAATTGGTCACTAGCTGAGGAATTATATATAGTGCATACACTACAACGATCAGAACAAAGAAATGGTGAAAGGAAACTCCAACCTGCTGACTTTGCTTTTATTTGCATGATTCCTACATATAGTACTATAAGGAATAACAAAAAAAAAGGAGTAACAGAACACAAAACTATAGTATTGTATTATACAGTATAATAGGCAAAAATTACAGTACTGTACAAGGTATACTGCACAAAAAAAAGATGGGTTATAAGTTCAAACAGTAGGTCATAAATCTGAAAAGTGCACCTCGGTCATAAGTCTGAACTGTCAATAAACAGGTAGATTGTTATTATGATCATTATTAATTTTGAAGCAAGATCTTGCTAAGTCACTAAATTGACCAGGTTTGCAATTCCCCCACCTCAACCTCTCAGAGTGCTGGGATTATAGGCATGTAGCACCATGCACAGCTTGCTTGCTTGATTGATTGATTGACTGATTGATTTGGAAGGAGATTAAACTTTTCCTGAAGCCCATCTTACAATAATATTGACCAAATACAGTTGCCTCATCCTTTGGTACCTACAAGGGAGAGGGTTCATGAACTCCCAGAGATAACAGAATCTGCAAATGCTCAAGTCCCAAAATGGGGTAGCAGTATTTGTACATTAGCTACACACATCCTCCTATACATTTTTCTTTCTTTTGCGACAGGATCTCACTCTGTGTTTCAGGTTGGCCTCAAACTCACAACAATCCTGCCTCAGCCTCCTGAGTGCTGGGATCACAGGCATGTACTACCACAGCACCTGGGCTTCCTATATACTTCAAATTATCTCTAGATTACCTGTAATATTTAATACAACACAAACACAATGTAAAAAGTAGTTATGTACAGGAATAATAACAAGAAAAAAAAGGTCTGTGAATGTTTGGCACAGAAGCAAGCCAATACCCACTGTAGACCTGATTACACAGGGCACAGAGGAGACTTGAGAACAATGCTCAAGCAGTGCGTGCTGGAGAGAGACTGAGTACTGTG